TAGAAAAGCATCAACTCCAGTGTGGAAGCTGTCTCCTGGGACGTGATGCGGTGCCGGGAGCTGATACATCCCCAATGGACGCCGCAGCTGAATCAGCTCACCTTACAACCGTACCGGAAAGCCCCAGCGAACTCGAAGCCCGAAGACTGTACCGGTTGCCTGAAGTCAATCTGAAGCACCTCGAAACGTACCTGAAGGAACATGCCCCTAGGACCCATAAGTCCCGAAGATCCCAGGTCTTGGATGAACAGGGAATGTACTTTACGTATGGATCATACTCGTTTGGCAATCATTACGGAGTCACGGCTAGGACCAAACAGCAAGTGGAGTTTGTGAAGTTCTTGAACCGAATCGTGGCCCAAAGCTTCCCAAAAGAGTTCCGATGGACCGCCATCTCGCTGAATCTCAACTCAGCCCTTCCCCTCCACAAGGACTGCAACAACCACCCTAACTTTCCGAATGGGAGCGTGGGTATGGGAAGTTATAGTAGCGGGGAACTTTGGATTGAGGATTCAGGGCAGAGGTTGAAGGGGATTCGTGAGGCAAGGTACAAGACGAATGGGGATGTGATTCAGGGAACGAAGGTGGATATTTTTCACAAACCAATTCAGTTTTCTCCAAAGCAGTGGCATCAGACTTGTGAATGGGAAGGACGCCGATGGGTTCTTACGGCTTATGTCAGCAGGAGTTTGGAGAACTTGAAAGATTCCGAGGTTCAGCAATTGCGAACTTTGGGATTCGGTGTTCCCCCGAAGCCAGCCTGGAGACCCCGTCTTGAAGCTAAGATCGTGGCAGCTAAAGAGCATCATGTACTGCACAGGTCCACTGAGAACCCCAAGCTAGAGAGTGTAGAGCAAACAAAGCGCGAGGAAGGCTTAGCAGCGGAAGCGAGCAACCCCACACCGGGACAGCGCAGCCAACACAGGGACGACGAGCGAATTCGGAAGCAGTTACACTTGTTACACTGCGCGTCGGGGCATGGTAGTGTGAAGCACCTCATCGAGGCACTTAAGAGACGAAGGGCCCCACCTAGAGTCCTGGAGCTCGCGGAAGCCTTCAAGTGTCCGATTTGCGAAGAACGTAGCAAGCCCCCACCGAGAGCCCAAGCCACCTTGGAGCCCCTGCCTCCTAAGTTCTGTACGATCAGTGCTGATATTGGCCACTGGGACCACCCAAAGAAGCAAGATCCGGTCCAATTCATGCTGATCATAGATGAGGGCTCGAGGTACAGAGTAGCTAGGATCCTCACCCGAGGGTCAAAGCAACAGCCATCTGCCAATGCATGTATTCAGTATTTGCAAGAGGGCTGGGGCCAGTACTTCGGACACCCACGGGCCCTCCGAGTGGACCCGGCAGGAGTCTTCCGAGGACGACAGATCCTAGATTCGTATTGTGACAAGCATGGCGTGTTTCTTGATATCATTCCAGGGGAAGCACATTGGAAGAATGGATCATGTGAGCAGGCTATCCAGGGAATCAAAGAGTTGATGACCCGACTGTGCGATTTCGATCCAGACATATCCCCGGAAACCGCTCTGGCAGAGGCAGTTACTACGTTCAACCATAGAGACATGATTCGGGGCTTCTCACCGGCTCAACAGGTGTTGGGACGCGCAGCGGATGACACCGACCGCTTCTTGGAGGCGGGCCAGGGATTACCACCAGGCCTCTTGATAGAGAATCCCGAGGGTGAGTTTGAACGAGCAGTGCTTCGGAGGGCCGAAGCTGAGAAATGCCACGCGGAGTGGCATGCGAGACAGCGGCTCACGCGAGCCAAGAACTCACGGCACAGGCCGTGCTACGACTACCGGCCAGGCGAATTAGTCTTCTTCTGGCGGACTCAAGAGTCTGGCAAGGGGAAACGGCAGCCGGGAACGCGACAGGGTAGGTTCTTGGGACCTGCCCGCATCCTGGCCACGGAAAGCCGGGCCTCCGAGTCAGGGGAAGTACGCCCCGGTGGAGCCATCTGGCTCGTCCGAGGACGATCGCTACTGAAATGCGCTCCAGAACAATTGCGGCGAGCTACAGAAAGGGAAGAGATGTTGGAGGCTATTTTAGCAAAGCAGGGATCCCCAACACCATGGACCTATACTCAAGTCGCCTCCTCCATCGGAGGCAACCAATACGAGGACATTACTGAAGAAGTACCAGACTCGCAGGAATGGCATCGAGCTCAAGACGCGACCGAGGAGGCCCAGCCGTCCAGGTTCCGGCTGACACGGAAGCGGCCACCGGCCACGGGGTCAATGGGGAGCATAGCTCCACCGGCACCCTCAGATGCCGGAGACGCGGAGATGCCAGAGGAGGAGGATGAGGCCTTGGAACCCAAGATCATGAGGCCACGTCGAGAGACTGCGAGCGCCGCCCAACCGTTGGACGGTGAGTGTTGGTGGGCAACCATCAAGGACCAGAAGTGGCCAGCATCGGAAGTTAGCTACTGGACGGACCAGAGGGCAGCCGTGGAGGTGGAGATTTCCTTGCCAGAGGGTCGCCGGAAGCTGCAACAGGCTACGAGAGACTTCGAGACCTACTTTGCACATCAACTGAAACGAAGAACTGTGGAAATCTCGGAACGCCGCCTCAATGATGAGGAACTGAAAGCCTTCCAGGAGGCTAAGCAGATCGAGGTCAAGAATTTTATTGCTGCGGATGCCTTTGAGGCATTACCTCCAGAATTACAACCGGCCAAGGACCAGGCTGTTGGTATGAGATGGATCTTGACGTGGAAGGTTCGAGACGATGGAAGCCGAAAGGCCAAGGCTCGGGCAGTATTGCTCGGGTATCAAGACCCGAGCTATGAACATAGAAGCACAACGGCTCCCGTAATGACCCGGCAGTCTCGCCAGATGATTCTTCAGCTAGCCGCCTGGAAAAAGTGGAGATTGCGCAAAGGCGACGTGAGTGGAGCTTTTCTTCAGGGTCGAGAGTACCCTGACACCCTCCACTGTATCCCCACGAAGGAAATCTGCGAAGCAATGAACATCCCTGAGAATAGCGTGACCCGGCTTCGTCGTGCATGCTACGGCCTAGTGGACGCTCCCCTGGAGTGGTATCGTACTGTTGATGAGTTCTTTCATGAAATAGGCCTCACAAGGACCCAGTCAGACGCTTGCGTCTGGTGCTACCGCCAGGAGGGACAGTTGATTGGATGTGTCTCTGGACACGTCGATGATTTTATCTTCGCGGGAGATGATCAACATGCAGGGTGGAACAGCATACTCCAACAAATCCAACAAAGATTCCATTGGGGGGATTGGGAAACCGATAGCTTCACGCAGTGCGGTGTGCTCATAGAACACACCAGTCGAGGAGTGGAACTCTCTCAACCCACGTACCTAGAGGGCATCCAAGAGATAGGAGTGAATTCCTCACGGCGTAAAGACAAGAACAGTCCTACCACTGAACGCGAGAGGACGATGCTGAGGGCGCTCTTGGGCGGGCTAAGCTGGCACGCACAGCAGATAGCCCCGCATCTGAGCGCAGATGTGAGCATTCTGTTATCCGAGGTGAGTACGAGCACCGTTGACACAATCATCCGCTCAAACATCCTTCTCGCTCATGCTAAGGCACGTGCTGGACACAAGATGCTCATCCACTCCTACCCGAAGGAAGCCGACTTGGGACTCGTGGCCTGGGTCGACGCGGCGGCGCAGAACCGGATCGACGGGGGCAGCACGCAAGGCATCATGGTGGGAGTAGCTCCAATGGCACTACAAAGCGGTGATGTTTGCGCAGTGTCTTTGATGTCATGGCATTCCTCGAAAATAGACCGTAAGTGTAGAAGCCCAGGTGCCTCAGAAGCTTTGGCGGCGATCAATGGAGAGGACTGCTTGTACTATGCGAGGTACCAGTGGTCAGAGTTACTACATGGAGCAGTCGACCTTCGACAACCAGACCGGACAGTACAGAAAGTCCCAGGGTGCTTGGTGACGGACAGCCGAAACGTGTACGACAAGATGCACAACGAGGTCCTGGTGATCAAGGGGGCCGAGAAGAGGACCAGTATAGAATTACTGGGGCTCAAGGAAGCACAGCGGAGAACACAAGTCTCCATACGCTGGGTCCACTCCGAGGCCCAGCTGGCGAACAGCTTGACGAAACAAGGGGGACATCACGAGCTCGAGATGTTCTACAAGATGGGATTCCGATGGCGAATCGTTGAAGACGACCAGATGATGTCTGCCAGGCGACGACGAGAGCACAATCTCCAACCGCTCGCTCAAACTACCGGTGTGATGAAATCTCTTTGTAAAGACAGTTCAGAAGTTTCCAACTGAAGAGTCCGGAGGGGGAACCCGGGCATGCAAGTTTCACTTATCTGTCTCTGACGCAGGCAGTGCTGGTCCTCGACAGTCGAACGACCGAAGCTACGAAGGATCAAAAGCGCGGGGCGCTGCAGGCACGCGGTTTGTCTTAGGAGCCATACTCTGCCTCCCACTTAGAACTGCCATACTGCGACCGCATAGTGATCTTCTACAAGCTCGGGCTATACAGGCTTCTGCAAAGCTACCGCTCGCAAACCCTAAGCCCTAAATTTGTCTGGCCTTTACTTGGTTTCTGAAAGCCCGCACATCTCCCCACAAGCCCCAAACACCTAAACCCCGCACACTGTTCAAAACCCGAAAACCTCAAACCCCAGCCTTGAAGCCCCAAACATCCCAAGACTTTTTGGGCGAGGCCCCCACGCCCGACCAGCAATAGTGGTAATTGTAGTTTAAAGTTGCAGCAGATCCAGACTTACCTTGCTTTTGACTCTCCCTTCTGTTTCTGGTACCCTAAACCCTGAACCCTAAACCGACCCTAAACCCTAAACCCTACTCGTCCAGGGAGGCCATCCTTTGAAATTTGCAGCCGCCAAACCCCAAACCCCACACCCTGAGGGTTCAAGCAGTCCTCATTTCTGGTTTAGGGTTTAGGGTTTAGGGTTTTTGGTACCTCAAAGGGCCCTAAAGTCTTAAAACAGGGAGTACCTGGACCTTCTGGGTACACCCTTCCTTCAGGAGCCTGCATGGAAGCCAGCCTATGCAAAGTACTTGGACGACTCCCGCGTGGCGCACCTGGAGCCTCTTGGACGTGAAGCTTGGAGGTGTCACGAAATTTCTTTTTTATAATTACCTGTAGCCGCAAAAACCTACCTTGTAGGGTTCCTGAGTATGGTGTCTATAATTCCTTGAAAAAGTTAGGTAGGGTTGTGCGGGTATGGTTGAGCGTTTAGATGTTCAGGGCTTAAAGCTTAGGGATTAGGACCCCTTATTCAGGAATCCTCGTACGCTCCCAGTTCATGCCCTTTTCAGCTTCTCGTTAACCCCTAGACTCCATTGAGTATTTAGGGGTCTATGGTTTATAGGGGTTACCTTAACCCTGAATAACATACCTTTTTAGGGTTCCTTCATATGATGTCCTTATATAAGTCCTGAAAAAGTTAGGTTATTCCGGGAACGGCAGGGTTTAGGGAAGGCTTGGGGTCTTGGATTTTGGAGGTTTGGGTTCAGGACTTAGGGCTAGGGCTTCATGGCTTGGTGTTGAGGGGTTCATGCTTTTGGTGGGCATCGGGGTTTGGGGTCTACAGTCTGGGGCGCAGGGGCTGAATCCTACATTACACCTAGCTTGCCGTCGTAGGGTGTTGAGGCTACCATGAAAGCCCAAGTGCCTCAAAACCGTCCCTGCACACCAGCCATGGAGCAGCCTTGTGGGCTAGCTTGTGGGGATAATTAGGTACTTGGAGGTTCATGGGTAGTTATAAGTGGGATTATATGTCCCCTAATATGGGTTATAAGTGAGTTACCCCACTTATAACTACCCATGAACCTTCAAGCATGAGAGATGCAGGCACTTGGCACTTGGCCTTGAGCGTGTCGAATTATCGGCTTCGTGGAATCCTCACACTGCCCATTCGTGGCTGAACCGCATATCTCTTACCAGTGACATACTGCTCTGCTTAAACCCTTATGAGCTCTAATCCTACAGCCTAGACCTCGAACCCTGCACCCTAAACCCCTAAACTCTCAAGCCTACTTGCTCGGAGGGAGCGCCCATCGGAACTAACTGAAGCAGCGCAGCCTGAGGCAAGGTGGCTACGTCTTCGAGAACTTGTCCGTGTACATGGCGCTTTGTTGTGCTATAGTAGAGCTTTCAAAGCAGTGCCGCATAGTAGAGAGTATTATTATGTGACCCCGTGTTCAGTCTTTAGCGTCATCCTTAGCTTTCTTGACGTGGGCTTTGGGATAGTACAAGGCTTCAAGGCAGATTGTAGACCTTCGCAGAGGATGAAGTTCCTTCGGACTGCTCAATTTTACAATGGTGCCGCAGGAGCTTTCATTCATGGTTTGGTGAAGTCACCACAATCTGTAATATAGGGGCCTAAATAATCGCCTATACTATTCTGAGGGCTCCTTCTTCTAATTGTAGTATAGTATAGTATACCCCCAAGATGCTATTCTAATTACTAAGCCCCCTATGCTATAGTACCCTTATAATAGTAACCCTTTAACGGACCCCTTTACAGGAACCCTGCTCTAAGTATTAAGGCCCCTATAGTAAGGTGTGGCGTTGTGGCTCAAGAAAGCGTGAAGTTAGAATTCCTGAGTCGGTTAACCGACTGAGCTCACCAACACAGGAGAGTCAGGGTTTAGGGTTCAGGGTCTAGGGGTGTAGAGTTGGCACTTTGTGTAGTTGTAGCTGTTGTCCGTATGAGGTCTGCTACATGCTTGTTTGTGTTGACGAATACCAAAAATGAAGAGTTAGTTGAATCTCGCGATTCAGGGTCAACCGCCACATGTGTACATGTTCTAAGTAACGATCAGTCTCAGTGCAAAACCGACACAAGAAGACACATAAATGGACACATCCAAACAAAATTACTAGCATGCGCATCTGTCGACGACTTGCACTTTCGCAATCGACGAGAATTACTCGCAGTCCGGTATCCCATATCACCCCCAACCCGGGAACCCGTAAACACAACCCAAAGACCCCAAAGACCCCAGGTCTTAAACCAAATTGCATCTCTAGGTCAGAATGCGAAGTCACAAACGTCATAGTGCCCAAGCTAAACCGATAGTGCCTTAGGTGCTGCTCCAACTTCTCTCCCCTGCGCTCCATCACCCTGGGGCACGGGTGCTGGACCATCGGAATGGTTGAAAGGGCTGTCAAGGGGTTAGAGTGTCTATTCGTCTAGCGCGTAGGGTTCAGGCTGTACGGGGGTTAATTCGCTAGACCCCCCAACTTCCCTCTAATATACCAACTATTAAGGGCCATAAGGACTCCATTAGGGTCTTGGGAGGGTCTAAACCCCCAAACCCTAAACCCCTATAACCTAAACCCATAAACCCGCTTACGGCAGTAGTGTTTCGGTCGCTCGAGCATGTCGGTGTAGTGTAGATCACACGCAGTGATGAGGATTCCGAGGATCTGTTCCAGCTTCGCGGCCTTGCAAGCTCCGGTTTAATGCTTATGGGGTTGATGGGTTAAGGGATCTACAAGAGGTTTAGGGGTTCCTTTGAAAGGTTTAGGGTTCATGGGTTTAGGGGTTTAGGGTTCAGGGTGTGTCCTTTGTCTTCCTCGCAGGGCTAATTACGTTCATAGTACTAGGCTACTGTCCCCGAGGTTTTAGGCTATCCCCTTTCTTGGGGTTTCGTGTGTTTTCTCTTGATACAAATACTGAATCCCAAAATCCGATTCTAAACCCGGAACACTCGGACCTCAAATATCAAATCCGGCGCCCCGAAACCCATTCCCTTGAGTCCCACGGTATTGAAGCCCTGAATAATCACAAATATCATTTCGTAAGGTTCCCTATTCTAAATACGTACATCTACGTTCTGATTTTGGCCGAAACCTTGATACCCTTCCTGTGTTACTCTAAAAGGCCTCAGCCTCAAACCTTCGACCCGAAGAGTTTCGAAGCCCTATATCGAAAAGGATGTTGGATGCGGCACCGGTTTCCTGACAGCGGTGTGCAGCCCCAAGATTTCGTCTTCTTGGGAGCCCTTTTGGGGAAGGGTGTTAGGGGCTTTAGGTTCTTAGGTGCTCAGTGATTCTAGGGTTCATGGGGCTTTTGTCTTGAGATCTTAAGTATTTCGGGCTTGAGGGTTCTGCAGGGTAATGGTTCGGAATGTTTCTCGTTTGTAACTTGGATCGGAGACAGGTTCTAAGAACCGGGTTCCTTTCGTTCATGCGAAGAGCAGGCACTGCCCTTGAATGGTTGCCTGACTTGCACGGCGGAAAGCTGTTTTGCATTCCAGGGTTCAAGCTCGACGAAGCCCCGAACCCTCACCGGGTTTTTGCTAGGGAAAGTACAACTTTGATTTAGTTACATAGTCGGGGCAGCAGATCGTGTGCCATAGCCTCCCCGACGATGAAAGCTGAACGCAAGCTCAGTATCGAGGCGAGTACAACAACAGGTTGGGATTCAGTTGGATCGAAAGCCCCAAGCGCTTCAAGCAGAAAACTTCATCCCACCGGCACCTACACTCCCAAGGCGTGAGAACACGATGTCCTACACCATAAACGAAGTCTGGGATCCTTCGACTGACGGCTCACGCATGCAGTCACGCACCGTCCCGCTTGGAGCACGGCCTCACGAATTGCTCACCGATCCGCATCGTGCGGCTGACTTCACCCTGCAGATTAACGGTGTGCCGCTTGTCGGAGTGCATCGAAGGTTCGCGAATGCCGACTACGTCCAGCTTTTTCCAAGGGACGGGGTCAGCACTGCCACGTCCATGCCGACTGCCTTTGCCATGCTCGGGTGTCCCGATATCGATCTTCGGCTTTTTGCTCTGTCGTTGCCTCTTCCACGGCCGAGCCTTCGAGTACCGCATCCCGTTTTGACAGATGATGCTAGTGGGCAAACGAGAGGGTAAGCACTTTGGGGAGCTGGTAGCCAATAGTAGGCAGAGATACGAAACGCATCAGGGAAATTTCCAGAGGATCAAGCTCCTTGTCAGCAGCAGCAACAACAACAGACTCTAAAGCCTTCCAAACCCTGAAATCCCCACAGCCCTAGACCCTTCTTCATCAAAAACCCGTAAAGCCTTAAACTCCCTTCTTAACCCGAAGGAACTGCTGACATCCCCCAGCCCTATACACTCACAAACCCCAAATCCCCCAACAGCCTTAAACCCCTAAAGCCTTCCGCGCCCTAAAGCCCTTTAAAGTCCTGAAGCACTAAACACTTAACTCTGCACCCCAAGTCAATAAACCCTAAACCCTATAATCCCTAAACGAAAAAGCTCCTGAAGCCCCTAAAGACCCTAAAGCCCTAAACCCTTCTACACCCTAAAACGACCTAAAGCCTTTAACCCCAAAACACGGGAGGCTGGCCACCATGATAGCCGACCCTCTGGCTCACTTACAAAACCCTAAGGGTCCATGTGCCCAAGTAGTATATACTTTGGCCCCCAATGTACCTATATAGGGACTACTTTAAGGCCAATGTATATACTATATGGGTACATGGACCCTTAGGGAAGCATTCGGGTTTAGGATTTAGGGTTTAGTTTGGTGGAGTTTGGGGTAAGCTCCCGGAGGGCTTTGATTCGGGCTTTGGGGTCTCATTACTTATAGGGTTTGGGGTTTCAGGATTTGAGGGGTAGAATTGGGGATTCGGGTTTTGGGGTTAAAAGGTTTGGGGGTTTAGGGTTTGAGGGGTAGGGTCAGGGGGCAGGAATTCAGATTTAGAGCGCTCATATTTTTGGAGTTTGGGGGGGGCGGAAATTCCAGGGTTTAGGGTTTACAGTTTGGGGGATATGGTGTAATTATAGCCCGCCTCTCTTTACGTCAGCGGAGCTGTATGGAGTGCTAGATGTGAGTTGAGGTCTTCAAGGGAATGTGCGTTCAGAGTTCAGCGTTTAGTGTGTAAGGGTTACCCATAGGCCCCATCGTAGTTCTTTTTTGGGATTACCTTGGAACTCTACAGGTATGAACCCCAAAATGGAACTACTCTGGGGCCTATGGGTAGCAACTGTAGAGAAAAGAGTCAAGCGTTTGGAAGTGTAGGCTTGAGGGTTTCGAATAATGGACTGGCTGCCTAGAAGCGTACAAGTCCCCCACACAAGCAGATGCCGCGTAAAGTCTCCATTGTAGTTCCCCTTTGGGGTTGCCTTATAGGATCCTGGACGTGAACTGGTCAAACCAATACACATAAAAATAGAAAGCCTAGACCCTAAATTAACTTCAGTGGAGATCCTAGACGCTACCCTAAACCCTAAACCCTAATTAGGTAGGCTTGGAATTCCAGTCTCCCTAATTGAACTCCGGTGTTCTGCTTGCGAGTCGTCGAGGAATTGCCAGAAGTTCTGATGTTTCAAGCCGGCTTCAGCTCACAGATGCGGGAGTTTCCGAAAATTAGGAGGCACCTTAGTTTGGGGTCCTTCTAAAAAGGATCCTACTGGCTGTACTATATTGGGGTTCCCTATTTTCGGAAACTCCCATGTGTGTGTTCCGTGATTCTAGGTGTTCTTGAAGAAGCCATGTATCATCGCAGAGTTATACTACTCAGGATTCCTGCCAACTTCTGTGGGTTCTCCCGGAGCATTTTCCGAGAACAGACAAGCCTTATTCCTGGGCTCCTCAAGCTACCCATTAAGATAACACGCACACACACACACACACACAGATCTCATTTCAAGCTGAACCCATCCCTGAAATCGCCTTACCCTGACGTCCGGCAGAAGCCCTGCAGCCGGTCAGGACACCGTCTAGTAAGCCTCGAAGCATCTAAACCCTGACACCCAACCCGAACCCCGAAGCCCTACAGCCTCCACCCTCCACGCCCTATATATACGTCCTGGGAGTCCTTCACTCAAGCCGACCTACATGTTGAGGGCCACTTCGAACCCAGGGTTTAGGCTTGAGGGTCAGGATTTCGGTTTTAGTGCATCGGGGTTTAGAGTTTGGGGTTTACGGTTTAGGCTTGAGGGTCAGATTTCCGGTTTGGTGCATCGGGGTTTAGAGTTTGGGGTTGAGGGTTTAGGCTTGAGGGTCAGGATTTCGGGTTCAGTGCATCGGGGTTTAGAATTTGGGTTTAGGGTTTAAGGCTTCACCGCCGACAGGAACGGTCTGGCCATGTAGAAGCCATTGACATCTTCCAGAGGCAGGTGGAGCACGCTGAGCGAGACATCCGCGACGCCTGGTGGGCACATGGGACCCCAAACCTTGAACCCTCTTGTCATTTCGCTAAACCCTAAGCCCTAAAGCCAAAAACAACCCTAAACTCTAAACCCTAAACCCTAAAGCCCAAAGCCCTATAAACCCTAAGTGTCCTGGTTCCGGAATCTCCCGTAGTGGTAAGGGCCGATGTCTTTTTGTTATTGTTACTATTACTTATTGTGTTTTTTTTGTTTTTGGGGGAGGGGGCGTGGAGGTGCCTTGGGGGTTGGCGCCTTGCCCTGGGGCTCACCGCAAAACCTTCGAGAATCATGTTTACAGTTATAGGGATTACAATGGAGCCTTAAGAATTCCCCTTTTCTATTTTGGGGGCTCCTTGCTGTATTAGAGTATAGTGGGCCCCAAAACCCTAGTCTAAAGGCCCCTGTATTAGAGTCTTTAGGCCCAAAGCCCCTTCAAAACAGGACACTACTTGGAGTTCATGGGTAGTTATAAGTAGGGTCACAAGTAGGGTAGTAACTATACTTATAACCCATATTAGGGACTTATAACCCCGCTAAAAAAAACTACCCATCAACCTCCAAGTAATCCCTAAACCGTATGCCCTTATAGAATCCCTATAGATCCCTCTGAAGGGGCCCTTAAAGGAACCCTCGCAGCTACCCATGAAGCTCCAAGAACCCCTCCCAACAAATGTTAAACCTCGAACCCTGGACCGGTCGGGCTGTGCTTGATTGCAGCCTCTTTAGAGCCCTCAAACACCAAGCCTTGCCCCAAAAATACCCTGAAACGCTGAAACCTGTAGCCCTAAAACTTTTTTCTAACACCTGGAACCCTAGACCTCTGAACCCCAAGGATCTGAACCTTAAACCTCTGAGCCCTTTCGGGAGTGGCAAGGAATGTCTGCCGCACCTGCTGCCTTTCTGCTCCTTCCAGGCGGCTGTGAACCACGAAACGCGGAAGGTCCCAAAACAGCACATCAGCAAAAAAAAAGCCCAATAAGGTAGGGATGTCCCGGTAGAATGCTTATGCTTCTGTGCTTTTTAGGTCCCGAATAAAAGCCTGAAGACTGCGAGCCCACCATTCCTTACGAGCCCGCTATTCCGTAGGTTTCCTTATAGCAGGTATGGTGTGATCTACCACCAAAAAAAGAAAAAACAAGCGTGATCGAGTTGCCCCTATATTGCATTGAAGCCATCTTTTGCCAGTTCAGTTTGCTTTCTTCTGCACCGCAGCAGAATTCGTCCCCAGATGCTCCCTAGAGGTTCAATATCAGCTCCTTTTTGGGGTTCATATGTAGAATCCTATAGGGTAATTCCAAAAAGGAACTACTATGGAGCCTATGGGTAAACCCTAAAACCCTACACCCTGAGCCCCAGAGACCTTAAATCTCTCGTGCGCCGGCATTCAGTCTCCTCCAGTTTCCCAAATGGGTAGTTCTCCAAGCTAGGGTGGTTTGCAGGGTGCTTGTTATAAGGGTGCCGTACCATTTTGGGGACGTAAAAGCGGACCCTAAATTAGAGAACTAAGTAACTTTTAAACCTTGAACCCTAAACCTCTAAACCCTAAACCCCTAAACCCTAAATGGAGTACTATCCCAATACTTCTCTGCAGGTGGCGAATGGCTGGGAGCTACTTGGCCACATCTCTGGGCTTCAGATCGAGGCTTTCGGGTGTTATAGGGCTTTTGAAGGGCGGGTGTATGCAGAAGGGTGGATGACTAGTAATGGAGGAACCTGATCAAGAAACCTTGGGCCTTTATTAGGGCTCCTTGTTTGAATCCTACTACTTTGGGGGTTATAGGCCCAGGGTTTCTTAATCAGGTTCCTACATTAGTAGTCTGCCTTACTGGCATTTAGGTCGAGCCCCTACAGTAGAGCTAAACTGCCAGCCAAGCTCGGTATATATGATCCTAAACACCAGATATCACCAGAACCCAAGATTTCTCGAGCCTCGGAAGGATGCCCCGAATTTAACCATTTGCAATACATCCTAAACCCCTCACCCAGGACTAAACCCTCAACCCTAAACCCCCTTGTAGCCCTACCCAGAGGATCTAAGTACTCCCTAACATAGGACTTTATAGGGCCTTCTAGGTACCAAAACCCATAAACAAGGAGTGCTCGGAACTAGCAGGTATACGTGCGAGGAGTGTTTCGATGCCATTGCTGCTGGAGCCTCAGAGCGGTGAGTTGAAACTTTGGGTGCCCTTTTGGCGCTCTTTTCGGGTTTCGGCTTAGAAGGGGCCTATAAGGGATCTATAGCCGGGTTCCATGATAGGGGCCCTAATAACTAGAATAAGGTTCCCTTGAAGGGTTCCTTTGATGGACATTTTCAAAGCTCTTTTTAGGGGATCCTTTAAGGGTTCCTTACGGGTTGCTTTGAGGGTTTAGATGCCCTTTAAGGCTTCCTTCAAGGGTTCCTTTAAGGGTTCCCGGGTTGCTCCGGTTCTGCAGACGCAGAACCGATTGCGAAAACACGGCTTGGCAGCGTGCGACGTCAGGGGGGTCGGTGCATGAAGCACAGGGGAAACCTTTGGAAAATCTTGAAAGGTGTTGACCGAATGAACGCGAAGCAACGGGAGTCATAAGATGCAACATGGCGAGGCTGTAACGTCTAGGGTTTTCAATTTGTCTTTTTCCCTCGAAAGTGTTTGGATTCTGTGGCATATCCCAGAAGTTCGCCGGCAGGGTCGATCTACGAATCTCTGCTGGCCCAGCTTCAGATCTTCCTCTTGGTCTTTGTGTTGCTGTTTGGGCCGTTAGTGCTTTGGGGGTTCAGGGATCAGTTTTCGGATCATGGTTTAGGGGTTGGTGAGTTTTGGCACCGCCTTGTGTTGGTGTCGGGGTTTACCTCTAGTCTCCATTGTAGTTCTTTTTGGTTAACCAGTTTTATGGTTGGGATCCAATAATGGAGATTTTTGGTATTTTTGGTTAGCCAAAAAAAGGAACTTCAATGGAGACTATAGGTAGGATTCAGGGCAAAAGAGGGTTTCCGAGGGTTTCGGTACCCGAGGTGGCAGCCCAGTGCGACCATCCGCCCGAGAATCTGGTGCGCTTGCTGAAGCCCAACGGCATTCTCGTGTGCCCTGCCAGAGCAAGGGAAGCCCCTAAAGCCTTACCCCGACGCCCCTAAAGCTCCATCAGGGGGAATTTCCGAGAATTGTACCCTATTCTGGGGGTCCTTACAATAAGGATCCTACTATTTAGGGTAATTACCATATTTGGGTCCCACTATTTTCGGAAACTCCCATATATCCCTTAGAGGGTTCAGGGAAATTTTCACCCTTTCAAATTCGGCTTCGGACACGCTGGAACGAATACAAGGAGGTTGATAGTCGAGACCCGGCTGCCGAATTAATGTCGGGACCTGATTATGAAATCCTTGGGCCTCTTTTTAGGGTTCCTTTAAAGGTGTAAGGGTTACTATAAGGGATCGATAAGGGTACTATAACAGTGTAGAAACCTGATTAGGAAACCCCTGGCCTTATAACACCCAAATAGTAGGATTCATATAAGGAACCCTCATAAAGGCCCAAGTTTTCTTGATCAGGTTCTTTCATTAGGCTTTATCACTTGCATATGTTCCTTAACTGGTAGGGGGGAGCCCTCCAAACTCTTAGGACCTCCCCAAGCACCCAGTTCCATACTCTATAGTCGGAAGTCTGTATTCTGGAAGATATGATGATATGATACATCTACAATTCTAGGTTATACAGTGTATATATATATATATATATAGTGTTGCATCGTCGTGTTCCTTCACCCGGGCCCTGGAATCTCTGGGGTCATCGCGGCAAGGTGTCCTGTGGGACCCGTGGTGCCGATCGACTCGAAACATCCGGGGAGGCTCCTGGCTGTTACTTTCTTTGGGTTTAGGGTTTAGGGGGTTTAGGGTTGCAAGCTTCGGCAAAGCTTGTGCGCAAGCAAACGCATTTCATGGTCGCAGCGCCATTCGCTCAAGAGAAAAGAGCTGCGCGGTGTTTGAACCATCCCCGCTTTCGGCCGCTTTCATGGTAGCGGAGCTCTTCTAGAACAGAGGTTCTAGAAGGCTCCAGGGCGACGCTGTTGTTTTGTTAGCTCACTTGCAGAAGCGTTGGTGAGATCGAGACGATGGCCGAGCTTCGGTTCACCAAGGAAGGTGTGCCGATCTACGATGGTTCTCCGGAGCTGTTTGTGGCGTTCCAGAGGGCAGCGCTTATCTATGCCGAGACCATAGAATGGAAGAAGAGGAGCCTTGTGGGACCCAGACTGCAGGCGGCGTTGGAGGGAAGTGCGAAAATGGTTGTGGAGCACAAGAGTCCAGGGTGGATATCCCACCCGAATGGCGCTTCGCAGTTGCTAGAGTGCCTTAAGCAACAAGTTCGCGCTCCCACGCTGGCCGAGGCTGGAAGGACGATGTCCAGGTTCTTCTACGGCATTAAGAGGCGCAGAGGAGAAGGGATGGCTGCATGGATTGTCAGACATGACGAGGCCTTGCTGGAGGCAAAGAGGACACTGGCGGAGGCCATCCATGAGTATGGGCCAGGTCCAAAGAAGTCTTCGTTGCCAAGGACGTCATCGTGGAGATCCTCAGGCCGTCCGCCACGACAGTCGCGCGGCTCGTCGCAGCAAGAAGCCGATGAGCCAGGTGATGAAGAGGCCGCTGAAGGAGCGGCTACCGAGGCCACGGAGGAGACAGAGGAGACGGGGGCATCCGAGCATGCCGCTGAGGGCGATGAGGAGGAGGAATGGTTCTACGATCCATGGTGGAGCTCGTCATGGAGCTCCTGGTCGTGGGGTTCTCAGGCCGGAGACCAGTCCCGCTGGAGCTCAGACCGCATGGGCTCTGGAAAGAGCTGGGCGTCATGGGACGCATCTGAGGCGGCATCGGCGCAAGCCGAAAAGTTCTTGCCTGATTTTGTCATAGCTTGGCTTCTTCTTCAACGGTCAGGACTGGATGCTTCGGAGAAGAGCGTGATCGTGGCAACGTTGAAGAATAACTTCAGCATTTCCAAGGTCAAGGAGGCTCTGAAGCTGACCTGGCCAGATGATGATCTGAAGCGGCGTGACTCAAGCCGGAACAACAATGCCATGTTCAGCGTGGAGGAGGAAGCTATGTTTGCCGACGACGAGGACTTCGAGACACCTTCTGTTCCAGAATGGGAGGACCCAGAGGAAGGCTACGCCTATGCTGCACTGGAAGATGATGCCCAAGAGGCACTGGCGGCTCTGGAAGATGCTCGACAGACCTTAAAGGAGGCAAGAGAGAAGCAGGCTCAGATGAGACGCAACCGGAATTTCTTTCCAAGTCGCTCCACGGGAGGCAACCGCGCCGGAGGCGGTCGTCCTCCCATCAAGTGCTTCCGATGTGGGGGTAACCACATGCGCAAAGACTGCCCTCAGAACAACAAGCCGTCTACCAACGAGCAGAGAGTGCACTTTGTCTTCTCGGCGACCAATGATGAGGCAACTGCGGAGCCAGAGGATGGCTCGGCGGCTTCCCCACAGGAGGCCAGTCTGCTTGCTCTTCACAATGTGGTACAATCCGGAAATGCCATTATTGATGGAGGGGCTACCAGCAGCTTGGGCTCTGAGGAGGCCATGGCCCAAATCGCCGCCCTGAACTGGGAGGCCACGGGCGATGACCGGATCAAGATCGCGCCGGAGGAGCAGCCGTCGTTCAGGTTCGGCAACAACGCGCAGCATCGCTGCATGTCGACGGCCTTGGTGAAGCTCCCAAGCCAACGAGTGGACAGCTCTATGCGGGTCCACGTGCACGACATCCCAGGTCAGCCGGTGTTGCTGAGTGTGAAGAGCTTGAGGGCTTTGGGCGCAGTCATCGATTTTTCAAAAGACCAGGCAGTGTTTCGAAGCCTGGACCCAGCAGCCGTGGTGACCTTGAAGACCACGGAAAGCGGACACCAGTTATTTCCGCTGACTCGTGATGTGCTAGAAGGGGCTACTCCGCTGAGACGACCGTTTAAGTCCTTTGAGGAATGTGATGAAGCAGCACATCGCGGGCCCAAGCCCGAATAGGGACATCTCCTTCTGGTGAACACCGGCGCAATCGATCACCAGGAGGGTTTTAAAAAGCACAGTGCGCCAGAGAGTTAGTACAGGGATGAATCACTCTACCATAGTGCAGCTGTTAGTAGTGCTAATAGTTGTAGCGAGCCAGGCCAAACACAATCACAAAGCCCAGAGATTTGTTTCAGCGCCACCAACATTCAGCAGCAGGAAGCCAGGACTGCCGTAGAGGTCCAAGCAAGACAGCTGATCGTGGAGAAGGCCCGCTAAGTCGCTTAAAGCAGTTTCTGGAAAAGGTTCCCTGGGCCTCCCTTGAAACACAGTCGAAGGACCGGAGTGTTGTTTCGTTACAGGAGATGCCTCACAGCACGCTGCCACCTGCATATCTTGTGTTCGGGATGTACATGCATGGGGGCATCGTGGGCGTGACCAAGGTTTCCAGGCTCTTTCCGTGGCTTACGAGGGTCTTAGGAGAGGTGATTAGGAAGAGTGAACCAGGATTTCAGGCGACTTCCATTGGGGTGTCATGCAACTGTCAGGCCAAGGCGCATATAGAGACAAGTACAACATGTCAGCTACGAGCAATCTGATTGTTCCCATCGTGCAACCCCAACAAGGAGGCGGTGTATGGATGGAAGGCGAAGGCCAGGTTGGTTCCGAGGTTTTCAGAGATTGCAATGGTGTGCAGGTTCAGGGACATGTGGTGGACTTAAGGAAACCCTAGAAACTGGATCCCAAGAAATGGCACGAGACAATGTCATGGAAGGGAGATCGCGTGATCGTGATAGGCTATACCCTCAGTACCTTCTACAAGCTGACGTCATCTGAGGTCCAATGGCTAAAACGACATGGGTTCCCAGTCCCCTGGAAGTCCCTCAAATCTCAAAGTAGCCGTCATTCGAGCCCACAACAGTGCCTCAAGCTGGAACCTACTCCTTCCGCCTCTTCCTGTAGCAGCAACCATGCCGAGCACGACCATGAGCAAGGCCGAGATGCAACAGAAGCTGGCCTCTTTGGGAGAGATTCCCCCAGCCAGCTGGACCAAGGTGCAGTTGTCCGCGAGGATCGCAGAGCTCACCCAGGAGGCGGAGGTGATCCTCACGGAACGCGAGGCAGCGAAGATGGTCAATCGATGCAAGACGAAGCTGTCCCTACAGGAGCTGCTGACGGAGCACGGGTTGGAGTTTGCCCGAACACAGACCGTGGATCAGCTGCGCGGGGTGATGCTGAAGTTCCTGATGGAGCAGAAGGTACCACCAGGCCCAACGAACTACATGGGATTCGGCAAGCACAGCAGTCTGAACTACGGCCAAGTGGTCACCCACTTTCCCAGCTACGCGACGTGGTGTGTGGAGACGGCAGCAGCGGAGAACGAGTGTCACTGGAGGCTCAGGCGCTTCGCGCTCTGGGCGCAAGGACTCAGCAAGACCGAGAAGGAAGGGATTGCCCGGAGTCCGGACAGCGACATGGAGAGTGCGATCCATGCGTGGCGTCCCACACGGAAGCCCGCACCAGACCGAGAGCCAGTCCCAGCATGGCGTCGAGCGATCCCACCGAGAGCAAGTGGGAGATGATGTCGGGGCCACACGACGAGAGCCCCGATCAGGAGATGATCCCAGCTGGGTCGACCAGCTCCAGTGTTCGCCTCGCCGAGATGGAGGAGGAGATTCGCCAGCTCAAGGAGATGGTGAAGAACAACATGAGCTCCGAGAAGGACACGACCAGGAAGCAGCCCAAGGCGACCGAGAAGTAGATCCAGAAGGTGAGTTGAGTATGAGTGATCGCTCAGAGTCTGACGAGGAGGACTTCGCTCCTGGCGAAACCTGTTCTCTCTCCTTTAAGGTTGCTAAGGACTTGTGTTCGGAGTACGAAGGGGCTATGCTTCAGTGTTTACAAGCGCTAGGAACGAGTGGGGTGAAAGTGATTGACGTTGGAGGGTCAGGAGATAGCATGCTTAAAAGGGAAGGTGAAAAGGTCTTCGGAGAGGGATCAGTGCTTCAGCTCTCCCAATGGAACGGTGGAGATCTAGGAACCGAGGAAGGGCGAAATTATGTTCTGAAAACCATCCAAGATGTGAAACCCAGGTGCGTTTGGTTCAGCCCTGAAAGTAGCGCCTATTCTCCCCTTCAACGATGCAATACCAAAGGCCCTGAACAGGTAGCTAGACTCCAGGCCAAGCGGGAAGATGCTGATAAGCAATATGAAGGAGTTTCACTAGTCCTCCGGGCTGTGGCCTCTCAAGGGATCACATGCGTACTTGCACTGGTGGAGCAGTGCGAGGCCTGGACTCAGCCATGGATGTCCAAGTTACAACAGGAAGTTGAGCTGTATCAGGGATCCTGTAGCGGCTGTCAGTTCAACTTACGGGACTACCAAGGGTTTTTAGTGTGTCGGACGTGGGGTCTGTTGAGCACGGATGGAGCCTTAGTTCAACATATGTCATTACCCTGCGATGGACGTCATGCAAAGAGTCGTAGACAGGGACATGAAGGTCTGAAGATGAGGGAGTATACCCGGGAGTTCAGTAGAAGGTTCGTGAGGTATTTGCAAAGGTTGGAAGAATGGTTTCAGGTTGCCAGGGAGGTTCAGGGGGCTGGACAAGAATGTCTTGCAGCAGCGGAAGCTCCAGGATCAGGACCTCCCGAGACAGACCCCCAAGAAATACAGGACATCCCGGCCGAGAAGCGCCGGAAGATTTTCCAGAATCTCCGTCGGATTCACACTGCCACGGGCCACTGTAGTGTCCAGTATCTGAAGTCCAGTCTTAAGAAACGCGGGGCTGAGAAGGATGTGTTGCGATGCGTGGAACACTTTTCGTGCGATGTGTGTAAGGAACGTCGTCGAATGGATCCTAGGAGTCGGTCTACGTTGATTGAAATCGTTCCTAAATGGCACACGTTGCAATGTGATGCTTTCGCATAGAATCATCCTGAGAGTGGAGAGAAGTGGCAGTGCATGCTGGGTGTTGATGAAGGGAGTCGTCTGCGAGTCGGTCGGGTGTTGGTCCAACATGCAAGTCGTACCCCAAGTATGCAGTAGTTCGTTGACTATTTTGAGGGTCATTGGATGCCTAGCTTCGGAAAGCCACAGGTGTTGCGGGTCGATCCGGCAGGATGTTTCAGGAGTAAGCAGCTCGACGAGTACTTAGCTGATCGTCAAATTGAGGTTCAACATATTCCCGCTGAAGCCCACTGGCAGATCTCAGTTGTGGAGCGGGCTATACAGAGTCTCAAGGCAATGATGTCAGCTCTGGTGTCGGAGCAACCCAAGATGAGTGCCACCGAGGCTTTCGCGAGAGCAATCTGGGCCAGCAACAATAGGGATCAATATCATGGATACAGTCCCCCTCAGCATGCATTTGGCAGGGCTCCGAATGAGTTTGGGCAGCTAGGAGAAAGCAAGCTTCGGGATGTTCCGGTTCTGACTGAGCATGGAGTTTCAGCTGAGTTTGGTGTGGATGTGAAGGCTATGTTCACGGCTGAGAAGGCTTTCTTGGAGGAGCAAGCTCGAGAACGGTTACGGAGGGCTGAGCTGTCAGGGGCCCGTACCATGAGGCACTTTTGTCCGGGCGACTTAGTGTATGCGTGGCGACGAATGACTCCCAAGGCTGATGGCAATAAGCACTTTAAGGGTGGACGTTTTGTGGGTCCCTATAGGGTGTTAGGAACTGAAACCAGAGTCGAGGATTCTGGTGAGCTCCGTCCAGGCCACGTGGTCTGGTTGTACCGAGGTGGACAGCTAGTAAAGGCCTCACCTCAACAACTCCGACCTGCTACCGCGCGTGAGGAATCCTGGAACGAGCTTCACAACCAAGCCACCTCATCAGTACGAGGACATATCCAAGGACCGGGACGCAATGCCAGAGACCGTCGAAGCGATGCAAGAAGAAGAAGTGAGACGAGAGAGAGAAGAGAACCCCAGAGAAAGAACCCCCAGGAGGATGGTCGGGAAACAAGCGCCAAGAAACGAAGGGGGACCCGAACACGCAGAAAGCAGGGAGCGAGAGCGAGAGCGAGGGAGAAGTAGAAGTCCGCCCCAACGGGGCCCCGCTATGCCCGCAGGAAGACGTCCCCAAACCCAGAATATGGCTGAATTCCTGGAGGACTGTGGAATGGTGATGGAGGACGAGGAGAATAGTTTCTGGAGCAAGGAAGGAGCTGCCATGGAATTCTCGGTGGGTTTACCGAAGCTGAAGAGCAAGCAAGGAAAGGAATGGAGCCGGGATTTAGGGTGCTTCTTCGTGAAACAGCTTCGTCGTCAGGCGGTGGAGATCTCAGAACGCCATTTGTCGGAGAAAGAGAGAGAGGGCTTCAGAGGAGCGAAACAGAAAGAGGTGAAGAACTTCATAGCCGCAAAAGCATTTCAGGCAATGCCTGAAGGAATGAAGCCTAGCAGAAGTCAGATCTTAAAAATGCGATGGATTCTGACGTGGAAGCTTGATGAGAACCCTGAAGGCGAACCCCTGAAGAAAGACTCCCAAGGAAACGCCCTGAAGCCAAAAGCCCGAGCGGTGGTCTTAGGCTACATGGATCCTTTGTATGAACATCGTCCTACGAGTAGCCCTACCATGAGTAGAACCACTCGTCAGCTGTTTTTGCAAAGCTGTGCAAACAAGGGATTCACGGTTGAGAAAGGGGATATTAGCGGGGCGTTCCTTCAAGGAGGTGACTTTGGACCGGAGAGGGTAATGGCATGTGAGCCACTTCCTGAGATCTGTGCTGCTTTGGGAGTTCCAGAACAAAGCACCATGTTGTTGACAAAAGCAGCGTATGGATTGGTGGAAGCTCCTATTCAATGGTTTTTGAGCATTTCTCGTTTCCTGGAAAGCATTGGGGGAGAACAACAGCTCTCCGACCCATGTTGTTGGTCTTTCTTCAAGCCTGAGCGAGATAGTCAAGGACGCCGAATCTGCATAGGTCATGTTTGTGGACATGTCGATGACTTTCTGTTCGGAGGTTTGGACTCATGTTCAGAATGGCAGGCGATTAAGGAGAAGATCCAAACCAGGTTCAAATGGGGACAATGGGAAACCAAGAGGTTCACTCAATGTGGGGTTCTGATTGAACAGGATGAGAATGGGTTTGCACTGAGTCAACCAGAATACCTGGAAGCAGTCACCGAGATACATGTCGGACGATCTCGGTGGAATGAGCCTGAAGCCCCCATAAACCATGTGGAGCTACATCAGCTTCGAAGTGTGCTGGGAGCCTTGTCCTGGCATGCCACACAGGTGGCACCACAGTGGAGCGCCCCGGTGAGTCTACTGCTCTCGAAGATCCATCAGGGCACCGTCAATGATATCATCGAGACAAATAAGCTGCTACGAAAAGCCAAACTGGGACAACACCAGAAGTTGCTCATACATCGACAAGAGTCTCCGACACCGTTGATCGCAGCATGGGCCGATGCGGCCAATTCCAACCGTCCCGATGGCGGCTCTACAAAGGGCGTGTTCGTTGGATGGACATCAGAGGACCTACTCAAAGGAAACTTGGTGAGCATTAGTCCGATATTCTGGCAGTCGGCTAAGATACAGAGGGCGTGCAGAAGCTCGGCTGCAGCAGAGACACATGCGGCTGTTGATGCGGAAGATGAGTTGTATGCCATTCGTCTTCAAGTCAGTGAGTTCTTGGGTGAACGAATTCAGCTGTGGTCCTGTGATGAGTCGGTGAAGATGGTGAAGGGAGTGCTGGTGACTGATAGTAAGAATGTCTATGACAGATTGAACCGTACGGTGATGACCTTTCGTGGTGCTGAAAAGAGAGCTGACATCGAATCCTTGTGTTTAAAAGAGAGCATGAATGCTACAGGGCTGATGCTTCGCTGGGTGAACGGTGACAGCCAACTGGCAAACTCTCTTACGAAGGAAACCGAGTTGCACCAGCTGTTCGAGTACCATAGGCGTAAGGGCCAATGGCGGATTGTGTATGATCCTGAGCTCCTTTCGGGTCGTAAGCGTAAGCAGTTAGGAGTTGATCGGCTGGCACAAGTGGCAGAGTGATTCTCATTTTGAGTATGGCAACAACAGCTTAAAGTTGTTGGGGCCCGTGCAAGCTTCGGCAAAGCTTGTGCGCAAGCAAACGCATTTCATGGTCGCAGCGCCATTCGCTCAAGAGAAAAGAGCTGCGCGGTGTTTGAACCATCCCCGCTTTCGGCCGCTTTCAAGGGTTTAGGGTTTAGGGTTAAGGGTTTAGGGGTTTAGGGTTTAGGGTTAAGGGTTTAAGGGTTTAGGGGTTTAGGGTTTAGGGTTTAAGGGTTTAGGGTTTATGGGTTTAGGGTTTAGGGTTTTAGGGGTTTAGGGTTTGGGGCTCTCTTCTTTTGGGTTGCTTATTGTACGGGAGTTTCCGAAAATTAGGGGTACCTTATTTGGGGTCCTCATAATTTTAACGCTACGCCGCCCGCCTCGGCTGTGTAGCGGCAGGGCGAGGGGGCAGTCGATGTTTTTTATGCTAGGGCGGCCTGTCAAACCCCAACCTTTACGCGGTTGTTGATGCGAAGTGCGGGGGGAATGGGTAGGGGAGGGGGGGAGGGGGGGGGGGGGGGGGGGGGGGGGGGGGGGGGGGGGGGGGGGGGGGGGGGGGGGGGGGGGGGAGGGGGGGGGGGGGGGGGGGGGGGGGGGGGGGGGGGGGGGGGAGGCCGACAAATCAGGTAAAATGAGGGGAAGCCGGGCAAGGGGGTGGCAAACGAACGCAAAAAACGGGTGTCTCCAAACATTTTGGACTGCAGGGATTAGGTGGAGGGTACCTGAGGTAACCCCCAAGACGCCTGGGCCTCTGGCCTCGGCGGATAAGGATCCTACTGTTTAGGCTAACATATTAGGGTCCCCTATTTTCGGAAACTCCCATACTCTTATCGTAATGAGGAACTTCCAAATTAGTATTGGTAATTATTGAGGCCCCTATATAAGACATGAACCCACTGTTACCAGGACCCTCCTGGTACCCTCAAGTAGGGATATGGTCCCCAAGAGTGGGTACTTAGGATCTAATACAGGGTAGATGGGGGGTCTCGTTTTTTGCTGTTTAGCGTTTTGGGTTGTTTAGGGTTTGAGGTTTTGGGGTGGTTTGGAGTTTCGGGTTGTTTAGGGTTTGGGTTGTTCCCCACCCTCGGTGTGGGGTTGTTGCATTTTAAAGTCAGCTATTACTCCTCGCCCGCTGAGATTACCTCCTGGAGTACCAGACTACCATGAGAATACCGTGAGAATCCCTGGAGTGCTCAACTTCACGGACTACCGTGAGAATCCCTGGTGCCCGACCCCACAGACTACTGCGAGAATCAGACTACCGTGAGAATCCCCGGAGTGCCCAACCCCACAGACTACGGTGAGAATCCCTGGAGTGCCCCACCCCACAGGACAATTCCGGGAGTGCCCGACCCCACAGACTACAGTGAGAATCAGACTACCGTGAGAGTCCCTGGAGTGCCCAATCCCACAGACTACCGTGAGAATCCCTGGAGTGCCCCACCCCACAGGACAATTCCGGGAGTGCCCGACCCCACAGACTACAGTGAGAATCAGACTACCGTGAGTGCCCAATCCCACAGACTACCGTGAGAATCCCTGGAGTGCCCCACCCCACAGGACAATTCCGGGAGTGCCCGACCCCACAGACTACAGTGAGAATCAGACTACCGTGAGAGTCCCTGGAGCCCTGGAATGCCCAATCCCACAGACTACCGTGAGAATCCCTGGAGTGCCCGACCCCACAGACTACCGTGAGAATCCCTGGAGTGCCCGACCCCACAGACTACCGTAAGAATCCCGAATTCCTGGAGTGGCCCAACCCCACAGACAATCCCAACTTTGGAATCTGCCGGGGGGGCCTCGCAGCCTCGAGGCTTAATTCATAATGCATCGGACTCGTTTGTCACAAGCAGATTCCATATGTACTCTTCTGTCATATTTTGCACAACATCTTGTGCTATACGAATACACTTGTTCCACACCTAAACCCCCATCACAACGCGTGTGAAACATCAGCCCTTATCTTGCTGTGTTGGCCGCAGCGTGGCGGCCCGCGGGAGTGCTTGAGAATACCGGGGTTTTCGGCTGCAGCGTGGCGGCCCGCGGGAGTGCTTGGGAATACCGGGGTTGTCGGCTGCAGCGTGGCGCCCGCGGGAGTGCTCGGGAACACCAGGATTTATGGTTTGGGCTCGAGTTCTTTAGATCGTAGGATTTGCGTGTAGGAAGGACTAGGCGCTAGCGTGGGGATGTTCGAAGTAAAATATGTTGGGTTGTTTAGGGTTCGGGTTTTTGGCTTGCTTAGGGTTTATGAGTTGCGGGGCTCTAAATGTAGAGCTTTCGCCTACTAACTCTCCAGTGAACTCCAGTGTACTCATTGGCTGTGGGGCTTGGAGGGTCGGGATGGATTCTTTTTATTCTCCTATGGTAGTATTTCAACCAGATAGTGGGAATCAGGGCACCCTTAGTGTTAAGGGGTTCCTGGGGACCTAGAAGACAGGTGCCAGATTCCATCTGATGGTTCGGCTCATATGTGGGTCCCGTCAAGGACCCCTTAACAGGACCTTGAAGGAACCCCTAAGGCCTTAAAGGATCCCAACTAAAATTGGTGCAAGGGTCCCAAATTCAGCATAGTAAACTGTATCGATGTGCGAGGAAGCTGTTGAATACCGTGGTCGAACT